GGGGACATATGTTGATTTGTAGATACAGAGTCTCTTGGCTATGGTGTGTAACCATGACCTTTAGTGCTTGGCTCAGTGAGTCACTCCATTCAGCAAGTGCTTTTATTGAATCCTTATTATGTATCAGCCAGTGTAGCAGGTGGTAGGGATAGAGATGAAGGACACAAGCAGTCCTTGATTTCATGGGTCAGTGTAGGAGACAGGTAAGTGGAAAAACAATTACCCTCAGTTTGGTCAGTGCTAAGGAAGCACACAGGAGGTGCACTCTGCCCCGTCTGGCTGTTGGCTGAAGAAGGGGGTGAAGTGATTCTTCAGCAGTCTTAAAGGATAAGAATAAAAGGCCGAAGAAGAGAAAGGGTGGGGTAAGGAGAGGGTGAGAGGCAATAAAATGTTATTCCAGGCAGAAGGACCAGGATGAAGAAGTGAGACACAAATAGATCTTTCTGGCTGAAGTGCCAGGTGTGCCTGTGGGTGGGGAAGTTGTGGGGGAGGCAGGGGCCAGAGCAAGAAGGGTCTGGATGCCATGGACAGCACTGTGGACTTTATCTTAAAGGCACTGGGAAGTTATGAGGGTATTAATCAGAGGAGTGACAAGATCAGATGTTTAGAAAAGGTCTTTTTGGCAGTAGTGTGGAGGATGGAATGGAGACTCCAGGGAGGGCCGATAGGAGATTTTTGCTAGAGCCCAGGAAAGAAGCAATAAAAATTTAAATAAGGCGGTAGGCCTTATTCTGTATCAGACAGATCATGAATTTAATGCCAGTTCCTTCTAATATTAACTGTGTGACCTATGGCCAGTTACCTTACCTCTCCAAGTCTCACTCTCCCATCTATAAGATGGTTCAATGAGTACTTATCTGGGAAGGTTGTGAAGATTAATTGTAAATGCTTGGTACAGTGCCTGGAAAGCAGTAATCACCAAAAAACGACATCTTTATTCTTATTCTTGTTCTTATGCAGCCATCCTGATGTGGATAGTCTCTGGAAAAACAGGCACTGAAACAAGGCCCTGGGGGCAGGGCATCCCAGGAAGCACAGTGAGGAAAGTGAGACAGGGAGGGAGGAAACCAATGAAGAGGGTGTTACTGAGTGGGTCACTGCTGTGGTATGTGGGGCTCAAATTCATTTGAAACCCTCAAGAGAAATTGTTCCTGCAAGGGATGGGAAAATGGGAGTATCTATCCACCAACACCTGTCCTAATTGGCTGAGGGATGGCTCTGCAGGTCTTAAATCCCCAGTACAGACTGCTCTGTGCACAGGCCAAACAAGCTTCAGTGGCCCCAATTCTGGTGGGACCCCGAGTCCACAGCAAGTCTTAAGCAGCAGACACAGATGCTTGAGATGGAGGCTGTCATTGTGTAACCGGAAGTGTCCATTGCAGTTGAGGTGAACTCAGAGATCAACAGTGGGGACATGGGCAGAGCGTCATATCTGCTATAGTGGAGTAAGGGACAATTAAACAGTATGTAGAAATAGACCTTGATGAGTGGAAGTAAGAAATATGGTGAAGTCTTTTGTGTTTTTGGTTTGATCTACAAACTGCAGTCCCGTTAATTGAGTTTAAAACACTTGCCAGAGGGGTTGTTTTGGGAGCAATGGTGGCAGAGAAGAAAGGATGATTTTGACTTGGACATGCTGAATCCGTGAGCTTGTCTAGTGTCTACTGAGATGGCAAATGAAATTTCCCTAATTCTGTTTTAAATTATGCAGGCTTCACTTTGACATGTTGAAATTCCTTAAACAAGTTTTGTGGGGGCCAAACCTGTACTCTGTTAATGAGTAAAGATCCACCCAACCTCCCACCCCACCCCCACCCCTGCTACAAAAGCATGTTTAATCCGGTGCTTTCAGTGATGGCTTTTAGAACTGCCTGTTGTCTTTTCCTACATGCTGTTCACATTTTAGGTGACTTTAAACCTGTGGGTAAATTGCCTTGTAGATTATTTTTTTTCTGAAGAAAGAGAATAATAAATACCATCTTGAGTTACTGCATAGCTATTGAAAACTAAACAGTATTTTTCAAAACCCTTTTGAGTTGTTGCAAAGCACAGTGCCCCATTGAGTATTGTATTACTTTGCTTCTGTTTGCTTTCAAAACGTACAGCATTCCAATTATCCTATTGTTACTGAATTCACTAAAGTTAATATGCTTGTTTACTAAAATGGAATTTTTAAATGATGAAAGCTTACATTTGCCAAGTGAAATAAGCCAGATATTTAGCTAATTCTACCATGGAACTCATCCTGATTTCATATATGTTTTATATTTTCTCTCCATGTGCATATGTATTTGTATTTGGAGATATGCATCCTGTTTTTGCTCTATTTTACAATGAATTTTAATAGATGTTGAAACCACTTATAGTTTAATTTTTTGAAGTGGTTTCTTTGATGCATATTTTATTATAAGTATCATAGGACATCCAAGTCCTATGGGGCCAGACATAAAAATATAAAATAGATAAAGTCTGGCTTTAGCTTTCTCTTTCAACGTGACCTCCCACTTCCCCAAGGGCCTTCCCATGTCCTATTGCTCACAGTAAAGGTGCCCAAGGGTTGTCAGTATCTCCAAAGAGGTATTTGTGGTTCCATCCTAATAGTGGAAGCCTGGTGGGTTTGCCTGAGATGCTTACTTTAGCCACACTTGTTTGTACAGTGTTGACTATACATGAGTGAAAGTGGAAGAAGTGAAGGTAACAAACCAGTGTCAGAGCAAGGTCAGACTTCCTGAATCTGTTTCATCTTGGTTTCTTCTTCCTTAGTGGGTGGGGCTGCACTGACAGTTCTCGTAAAGACTGGCTCTGAAGGAAGACAGGAAAGAGGAAGAGAGAATCTAGTGGCTATAACTGTAGGCCAGGCATTGTCCTGTGTTTTCTGCATATATATTATCTCAGTTTAATAAAGCAGTATCCTTTTTTAAAAAGTACTTGACAATAAACATTTTTGGAGAAAAACTATGTTTTCTGCATATATATTATGTCAGTTTAATAAAGCAGTATTCTTTTTAAAAATGTACTTGACAATAAACATTTTTGGAGAAAAACAGAAAGCCTCTTTTATATAG